GGGGCCCAAGAAACGAATCTCTATCCTGACCCAAAAAAAAAAGACGAGAAACAGTGGGAAAGGCGGGGCCCAAGAAACGAATCTCTATCCTGACCCAAAAAAAAAAGACGAGAAACAGTGGGAAAGGCGGGGCCCAAGAAACGAATCTCTATCCTGACCCAAAAACAAACCATTTTAGGTAAGCATACGAACAAAGTAATGCAGTTCATAAGTTATTCGGTGTACACGAACTAGCGGCCTCGTGGCGTCTTGGGGCGGTAGTGCGGACGGACGAACGGGCTGAATTATTCACCTCACCCCAATTACGACACCACCGGTCACTTGTAACTAATTAGCAGCGGAGCGCCTAGCATGGGGGGGGGGGCTATAAAGTAAAAATCATGTCACAATAGCCGAGTCCCAAGAGGCGGAGATCAATTGTTAATTACGGGTTAAGAAACGAGAGACTTTACCTTCCTCCCTTTCATCGTTCAAGTAATTTTTACCCAACAATTTTTGCTTTGTTTTTTTTTTTTTGTATTCTTGAGTTGTCACGAGAGAATTTTATATAACTTGATTTACCGTAAATAATCAGTAATCAGTTGCAATATGAATGGCTTGCATGTGGTGTTGGTGCAACAACCCTCCACCCCCACCCGCTCCCCCCTTACACAGTCTTACCTTGAGGTTACCTTGAGGTGCCTCCGGGGCTTAGCGTCCCCGCGGCCCGGTCGTCGACCAGGCCTCCTGTGTTTTGGTGTTTATCAACAAAATAAAACTAAAATATTTTAATTTTTCTGACCAACCTCTATTTTTCCGCCCTCTCGTTTTTTTCTTTATTTTAATGGCTATATAATAGCTCTCTTACGTTGATAAAACCAACCTTTTTTAACGCTTTTATTTCCTAACAACTGAATTAATTTAAGTTGGTAATTCCTCCGTCTTACTTTCCTAAGTCGGTTATTAAAGCCATTTAAACATACAGTATGAAGACGGCTTACGGCTTTGATAATGCTATACCCAAGCCTTCCCCCTATGTGCTATTTCGCCGTTGTCGGCCTTTTTAAAGCACCCAACCTCTTGAACTGGTAGGCAGAGAGACGCCCTCGCTTCACGCAGTCGGCGTTCGATGCCCAATGGTCAAGGCAACTTGGCACTAATCGTTCACCCCCGGTCTCATATCTCGGCTCTTAGTCTGCCCTCGTATCCCTTCCTACTATTATATATATTCATAGTGCTTAAGCGCCTTTGAATAATTATCTTGTCTCCATTGCTTTCCCCTCCTGTAAATCTGTTCAAATTCAACCTGTCCTGAAGAAGGTGGAAGGAATGTCCCATAGTGACTGACTTTCGGCCTCCTGGGCTAAGGTATGCTGAACTGTGTAATTACTATATGAGTACTGGAACACTTGATGATATATTGGACTTGTACCCAAGATTAACCATGTAATGTATCAATTATACAATGTATGTATGTGATGTAACTATATAACCTGAGCTTGTAAAAGCACCTTCATCACCTTCAGTGATTAAGTGCTTAATTGCACACTAGTTTCTCTTTCAGCTATCTCACCCTGTCAGAGTAAAAGAGACAAATGTATGTGAATGCATGTGTGTATATATGTATGTATACATGTATGTATATATGTATGTGTACGTATATGTGTGTGTGTGTGTGTATGTATATGTATGTGTATAAAGTATATATGGAAGCTGATCAGAATTACATTTCACGTTTGTAAATGCACATTAATGACACTATGTAAAAGACACATCGAACACTTTATGTAGGGTATACGTAAATCTGTGTATCTATGTATTTACGTATGTAGGTTAGCTTAGCATTTTAAAAGCACCGAATCACCTTCTGTGGTTGATTGTTCAATAAACCCTTGAACTATATGTTTAACACATCTCTAACCCTGTCCATGGAGGACAGAAGAAAATGTATATATGCTGGTTAGTATTGTAAATGTGTGGCCACGTCTGTGGTAGAAAATAATAATAATAATAAAAAAAAAACTCTTGGAAAATTTGATGAGTGAATGAGTGAATATTTTATGATGCTGTTTCGAGTGCTTCCCTGGATGTGCTTGCCTATTTGTGCTTACCTAGTATGCTTTTCTCGTTGTACTTGCCTAATTGTGCTTATCCGGCTGCGCTTACCTAATTGTGATTGCCTAGTGATGCTTAGTTGCATTTATCTAGTTGTGGCGAACGGGATTGAGCTCCAGCTCTCGATCCCAACTCTCATAGCTGTTGTTACTGGTGTATTTATACCTCACAATGTTTTTTTGTGTTTTCACTTAGTTGTGCTTGCGGGGATTGAGCTCTGCTCTTTCGGCCCGCCTTTCAACTGTCAATCAATTAACTATTACTAACTACTAACTAATTTTTTTTCACACACACACACACATACACACACCCAGGAAGCAGCTCGTAGCAGCTGTCAAACTCCCAGGTAACTATTTACTGCTAGGTAACAGGGGCATCAGGGTGAAGGAAACTCTGCCCATTTATTTTTCCACCGACGCCGGGGCTCGATCCCCGGTCCCTAGGTCCACGAGTCTAGAGCGCTCTCCACTCAGCCACCAGCCCCCATTGCCCCTTGCGTGTGTGTCATACGTGTTTCAAAGCTGTTAATTGCAGAAATGAACAGCTTTGGAACAAGTATGACCTCCACTTCCACTAAGAATGGCCTCCACTTTCTTAGTGTAAATACTGCATGCGAGTATTTCCTTACGACGCCCACTTATGGCTTGGTGTACGGTAGAATACCAGTCAGGGGGGGTTGGGGGATGGGCTACATGGGAAGGGAGGGAAGGGAAGAGTGGGTGATTGGAGGAGGGGTGAGTAAGAGGAGGGAGGGAGGAGGGGAAGGGTTAAAAAGGGAAGGGTTAAGGGGGTAAGGGTTAAGGGGAAGGGGGGGAATATGCACTACATATATTTTCCATGTGGTGGTATATTATTGAGAACGACCCATTAAATCTTCGGTATTTGGTGTTGGTACTTTACGATGTGGTGGTAGTAGTAGTTGTTGTTGTGGTAGTCGGGGAAGTTCTAGTAGGAGGGGAGGAACACCAGCAATACGTGTAGTGGTAGTACGGGTGTTTAACGGGGCAAGGGTGGTAATGGTTTTATTGGTGCGTATATGAAGAATTGTGGTGGTGGAGAGGAGGGGGAGGGAGGGGGGAAGGGTAGTCGAGGGGGGGTCGGTGGGGGAGGGGATGAGAAGGAGTAGAGGGGGGGGGGGAGAGTGGAGGTACTCATTGAGTGGTGGCGGGACACGCGACCCCCCCCCCCACCACCACAACGACCGCCAATTACCGCCGCAGATAGTATCACCGGAACACTTCACGTGGTGGTAATTGTCTGCGGTAATCAAGGTCGTCGTCGTCGTCGTCGTCGTCGTGGCAGGTGTCGTTGGTGGTGCCCCTGCTGCAGGGGGGAGGGGGGGGGGGCTTGTCGTCCACCCCCAGCTCCCACTCTTTCTTCTGCTTGTTCTTGTATTTATTCCTCTGCTTGTTCCTCTGCTTGTTTTTCTGCTTGTTCCTCTACTTGTTCTTACCTAACCTGTTTGCAACACCGAGCTTCAACTCCTGGGTCCCACCCTTCACATCGTGGGTCGTCTAATAACATTACTGCGATGATTTCAGATTCTCCCCTTTTTATATTTTTTAGTAACATCTGCTGTTAAAACCAATGTTAGAGTTAATCTCTACTTTAGTTAGAGCTTGTGGGCTTTAGAGTTAGAGTTAATGTTAACCTCTACTCTCTCTCTCTTTCCTAGTAATTAAAATACTATCTCATATCTCAGTGGCTTCTCTGTGTGGCCAGCTTTAGGTCCTCTCATTACTTTACTGCTGAACCTGAACATCATCATATCTATTTCGTCGAGACCACCGAGTATTTAGATGTCTGGATCATGACACCTCTTTTTCTTGGGTCTTCCAATATCATCAGCTTTCGGAATTTATCTCCCGTAGCTTAGGTCTCTCAGTTCTGGGACTAGTTTTTGTATCATAATATCGGTACCTTATCAGTGTTTATTTTGTGTTTGGCGAGGTTGGGGTGCGTGTATGCGTGCGTGCGTGTGTGTATGCGTGCGTGCGTGTGAGTGTGGAGAGCGTGAGGTGCCTGTCTCCCCATAACTACCACACACACATCCTTGAGCACAGCCCTTGGGGCTGGCACAGTATATATCATGTCCTTAACGGAGGGTGATAAGAGCAGTGTGGCACTGGTGGGGGCTGTTAGCCACCTCACACACAGGTAATTACTGCAATAACGAGCTTGGGTGCTTTAAGGAAGGCTCTAAATCTTGGGAGAGGGTCGCGTGAGTGGTTGGTGACAGGCAGGTCAAGTGGTGCTCATTACAGAACGCCTCAACCCCCCCCCCCTCCCTCTACAACGTCTTCATCTCTATTACGGTTAATCACGGAATTAATTCTGAATATTAACGAAGAGTCAAGCCATCTGTATTTAGAGTCAAGGCCAAACAAAAAAATAGGTGTCTTTGCTCAAGCGTATTTAAATTTGTGACCCTGTTTTTGACGCAATATGCCCAAACAAATAATATTTGATTATACCGGCAGTCATTATTTCCCCTTTGAGTTGTTCGGTGGTTTTATATACGTCTTCAAGAGAAACTATTTTCCACGCCCGAAAGTTATAATTATGTACCGCGACTTACGTGCCAGTGAAAGCCTGGACCCAGATTCACGAAGCAGTTACGCAAGTACTTACGAACGTGTACATCTTTCCTCAATCTTTGACGGCTTTGGTTACATTTATTAAACAGTTTACAAGCATGAAAACTTCCCAATCAACTGTTGTTATTGTTACAAATATCTTCCTGGTGCTTCGGAGCTCATTAAGTGTTTAATAATTGTAAACAAAGCCGCCAAAGATCGAGAAAAGAAATGCAAGGTTCGTCAGTGCTTGCATAACTGCTTCGTGAATCTGGCCCCCTGCTACGGAAGCCCCTGACCGGCCGGCGGGCGGGTGGAGGGGGGACCAACCTTTAGTGAGGTGGTGTCCGGGCTGCAGGGCGGTGTGAAGACTGTGGTGGAGAGTGTGGTGGAGGCTCTGGTGTAGGTGGGAGGTGTAGGTGTACTTGAGCCGGGCCATTTCTTGCTCCACGCGCCTCCTGGCCTCCACCTCCCGCAGCAGGAAGAGTCGCAGGCGGGGGTCCTCTTCGGCGGCAGCGGCGGCGGCGGCAGCGGCACTCGTGGGGGAGTCGCTGGACGCCGACGGGATCTGTCAGAGGAGAGGAATTGCAGCAGGTGTGAGAGAAGAGGTGACAGATATCATGATAGATAGCAGCTGCAGTGGAAGATAATAGCAGGTGTGGTGGTAGATAATAGCAGGTGTGATGGTAGATAATAGCAGGTGTGGTGGTAGATAACAACAGGTGCAGTGCTAGACAGTAGCAGATGAAGGGGGGATGAGAAGATGGCTAAAAAGTAGAAACACATGGGAAAAGAGTGAGATAGGTGACAGGTGCGAGAGGAAACAGGTGCTATCTATACTCCCCCCTAGTATAAACCACGGGACCATAGCCACAGTAAATCTCACAAGTGCTATATTTACTGTGGTAGTTAATGAGAGAGAGAACAGTTCCCTCTCTTGCACACCCATAAGCAAAATATTTAATGAAGTCTTGACATCCGAAGGAAAGTCAACGGAACCACGCGATAGCTAACGATACCCCAGCATTCGATATAGCAGGTAACGATGCCCCTACCTAACGACATCTCCTAGCTAACGACTTCCACAAACTGTGGAAAACGACATCCAGCAACTAACAACACCCACAGACTAACGACAACCACAAACTAACGACACCCCAGCGAACGACCTCCCAGCTAACAACACCAGAGTACACTGAAGTAGCAAAGAAACTGAAAGAGTGCCTGAGGAAACCTGAAACCAGCAAAGAAACCTGGTACCAGATGAAATTAAGGACGCCGCTCTAGTTTTCCAGTCCGCAATTAAAGAACTGCCAACTGCAAAGGAAACAGACTGAAATCGCTGAACTAGACTAGTATCTCTAATGTCTTGCAAAATGATGGATCAAGTACTAAGAACGTAAATTTCGTGGAAATCATAAACTGTCCTGGAACACTTAGTGAGTTCAGGGAAGGAAAATCATGCTTAAATAACTTATTAGAATTATCTTTTTTTAACGAGAAATAAGGGAGGAGAAGGAAGGGCTGGAAGACTGCCTACTTAAGAGACTATCATATGGATAGTCTGGTAGTCTACCAACTTATAGACTACCAGATACAGTGCTGCGAGCTGCAAAAACAAGGAACAGGCTGATATATCAGGGAGGGTAGTCAGTGGATAATGGAGTACGTAACAAATAAACAGCTGATTTGGAGTCGGGTAAATATGATAACAGCGGGGCATGAGAAGAGGAGTTCCCCAGGAGTCAGTTCTGGGGCCCCTGCTCTCCGTGAAACTTGTGTATGTCTTGCCTCCAGTGAGTAGAATCATGACAATGATTATGGATGGTGCGATATGAATAGGAACGTAAGTTCACTGGAGAAGTGCAGGACAAGAAGGTTCCGTACAGCAAGAATGGTCGAACATGTGGCTTTAGAAGTTCATCCCCTACAAATGTAAGGTGATGAGGATCGGATGAGGTGAACTAAACACATCTGAGAGGGAAACAATTACCGGAATGAGACCAATACAAGCACTTCATCGGTTGTATTATATCGAATAGATGACCTCGGCTTATGCAAAGCTGGCGGAAGTAAGGACAACCTTCAGAAATCTCGATAACACATTTTGATAACATTGGGCACCACCACGTATGTGAGATCAGTATTAAAGTATGCAACGTCAGCATGAACTCCACATTAATTTTTGTGTAGTGTGGAGAACGCCACACTCCAATAATTAATTTTGGGCGGTGTGTCATTAATCTAGACATGAATTAAATGAGACGAGAGATATGATGATAGGCTGAGACCCAACACCACACCTCCTGAGACAGCATGGCTCAGACCAAGCAGGTTGTGACACATAATAAGCCGATGACAAGCACATAACAAGGACATTAACTCGCCCGATGAAGACTTGTGGTTACACAGTGAAGCGGAACGCACCAAATGAACCAGAGGTTTACCAGTATGCTGGTGGCAAGTAAATAGAATATAGTAAGAAATGAAATAGTGGAGGCAAAGTCCTCACATAGATCCAAATGTGAATGACAAACGCAGTGGTGCTTCACATTATATGGGACGTGCTTCCAGCAAATGTACAAAATAGAGCACACAGATACACCCACCCCTCTCAACCGTAAGTGGTCGAGGAAGACCTTGGTGGTGGTGGTTGTCCCAGACTCACCACCACAACGAGGGTGGTTGTGGTGGTGGTGGTTGTCTCAGACGGGCTCAGGTGTTGGGAAGTGACCGACCTGTTGAGTGTTGACGCCAAGCAGCTCGACCGATCATCACTCCACCACTCGACCCTGACAGACTCACCACAAGCCCAATATATAATCCCTCATTAATGCCGATAACTACACTGTTATTGCACATTCAAGGATGTAATTAGGCTCGCGATTCCTATACTAAGACGCACACTGATTTCTTAAGAAGAAGTTAGAGTAGGCAGCGAAGGAAGAAAGGAGGGAGGGAGGGGGAATAGATGGAAGAGAAGGAGGGAGGCGGAACCTGTATATTTTCTCTATCTCTAGCAAACCTTAGTGCCTACTAAAGGTTGTCATCTTAGTGTTGTAATGTGATCACTGTGTATAGTGATCGACTTGATGTGCAAACAGCTAATGTGTAGACTCGTCCTCTGACCAAAGAAGGGAAGTACCACACACACACACAGTGGCGGAGGTTCCCACAGTGCTTCCTCTCTCTCCTCCCTCCTGTCTTGGCTCTATAGTCTCCCCTACTATAAGCCATGTGACCTTAGCCAGCGACACCACTCAATATCCCGCGACTGGATCCGGGTATGGTGGTCCCTCAACTCCCACAACCTCATGTTTGTTGACACTGACCCCCCAAAAAACTGAGTTGTGGCTGAGCCCCCCAAAATCGCATGTTAGTTGAGTGTGACATCCCAAAACAACATGTTTGTCGACTGTCCGCCACAACCGCATATTAGTTGAAGCTGATTCCTAAAACCGCATGTTGACTGTCTCCCTAAACCTGCATGTTTGTTGAGACTGACCTCCCACAATCTCATGTTGACACAGAGCCCTCGCAACTGCATGGAAGCGAGCAACACCTGTCGCAGCAGCTACAGACAGGTAGCGGAGGCAGGAGACGCCTCCACAACTTGAACAGCCGGACACCCGTCCTGGTCCGAGGCTCTCAAAACCCGACAATAAGGTAACCAAACGTAGCGCTCACTTGGCTCTCACGGCTCGCTCTGAAAGCCACAGAAAGACTCCCTTAATTGGAGAAACCGGTGAATGGCGCGGCCCAAAAAAAGAGAACCTCTGCCATTAGACGAGAGACATCCGCTTGTGGGAGTTCAGACACAAAATTACACCGCCAACACGGCTGTGTACGACGCACATTTAAAAACGCCAGACTTAATCTTCTAGAGCATGGGGGGGGGGGGGAAGGGGGGGATGTCTTACACCTGGCAATTCAAAGCGTGGGGTAATTAGTCTTCTTATTTTCAAGTACCGCGACAGATATCTTGAGACGAATTTGTTAGCCAATTAAGAGCGTCTTTGGTGCTCAGTGTGTCACTGGCTTCTTACTGGCGGCTTGAGCGTGTGAGACGGAGGCAGTTGTGCCACTTGTACTCTTCTCTTGACGACGTCTCTAACTAGGTTGGTTAACTTGGCGGCTCTGGTGTCCTCCGACGTCGGTAGTGTAGTGGAAGACACTTTTGATAACGGGGGTGTGGCGACTGAGACGTCTGAGGATGTTGCCGGAAGTCTAGCCTCAGAATATAATACAAAACGTCTCGGGAAGTTGTCCAACCACTTGGGCTAGACGGTAGAATGACGGTCTCGCTTCATGCAGGTCGGTGTTCAATCCCCGACCGTCAAAGTGGTTGGACAACATTCATGCCCCCCGACCCATCCCAAATCCCTTTCCTGACCCCTCCTCCCCTTCCCTGACCCCTCCTCCCCTTCCCTGACCCCTCCTCCCCTTCCCTGACCCCTCCTCCCCTTCCCTGACCCCTCCTCCCCTTCCCTGACCCCTCCTCCCCTTCCCTGACCCCTCCTCCCCTTCCCTGACCCCTCCTCCCTTCCTATAAGTGCTATATAGTGGTAATGGCTTGGCGCTTTCTCCCTGATAGTTCCATTTCCTTCAGGAAGTTGTTTACTCACTCGGTATGCTTGAGAGGCCACACCTCTCTCCCTCTCTCTCTCTCTCTCTCTCTCTCTCTCTCTCTCTCTCTCTCTCTCTCTCTCTCTCTCTCTCTCTCTCTCTCTCTCTCTCTCTCTCTCTCTCTCTCTCTCTCCCTCCCTCTAATAGATTAGTGTGAAGATTCTCAAACCCTGCGGGCTGATTGGACTCTTGTCATACCTCCATTTGAAGCTGGGTGCAGGGCCGGCCCTCACTATATCACTTCCTTGTTTATTTAAATTGTTAATTTTTTGTTCCAAACAAATCTTTATAATATCGGTGTGGCTCATTCAGGGAATTACTTTTCCCTCGTGGACATTTTTGTTCGTGTAACTCCAATATCAGTTTCAAAGAATATTTGGTATGTAGTAATCATGTTTTTTTTGTCTCTTTAGTCTTTCCTCATGAATCATACCTGTCTGCTCTGAAACTAAGTTTGTTTACTGTACACAGCTCCGTTTTGTATTTGACCAAAATTATATAATACATAATTATATTATATTACATTTGAATTATATAATTATTCTAAATGCGCCACATGAAAGGGAAATAAACGAGAGCCTTGCACAGCATAGTCCTGGTGGAGTGTGCCAGTTGGGTCATAAGTGGACCTTTAAGGCGAGAACCCTCACTAACCTCTCAATTATCTGAACCCGTTAGTTATTAATAAAGAGAATATATGTAGGCTGCGATCTACATACACTCTCCTAGACACTGAGGCCACTAGCTTGATCCTACTAAACCCGTCCTCGTACTACATCAGCCAGTCCCACAAGACCCGTCTTCCTGCTGCAGCAGACCAGAACTCAAGGGCCTCGCCGCTCTGCAGGAAGACCTGAAGGCACCTTAGACGCGTGCAGACAGAGAGAGAGAGAGAGAGAGATCAACACTCACACTTAAGGCGCCGCCCACTTGAGATCTTAA